CGATGGCGATGACCCCCGCGCTGCAGCCCATGCCGCCCAGGTTGTAGCTCAGGATGTTGCCGCGCATCTTGTAGTGGTTCACGATCATGGCAGACAGCGACGGGGTCGGGTTGAAGAGGCTGCAGTTGACCACCAGCACGCCCACGTCCTTGGGCCGGACGCGGCACTTGTCGAAGAGCTCGTCCAGCGCCGCGAACATGGCCGTGGACGCCTCGGCGCGTCCCTCCTTCATGGTGGCGCAGTTGGCGTTGGGCTCGAACACGCAGCGCGGCATGTACGACTCGTCGCCGATGCCGGACTTGGCTAGCAGACGCGACTGGAACGCCAGGCTGTCCTCGTCGAACTTGCCGGACTTGCGCGCTAGGTCGATGAACTCCGCCTTGGACACCTGCACGTGTGCACATGTACACAACCATCACTTCACAGCATGATTATTATATATACACTGCATCGTCTACAACTGCATGCCGATCCATCCATTCTGTTAGCCTCTGGAACAGAGGAATTCCACAAATCGTTCTGGAATTTTATGAAAGTCAGTTCGATTTCATCACTGGAAAAAAGCGTACAATTCAGGAAAACAGCCCCGCGTTTCAAAAGAGCCTAATAATCTGTTAACAGGAGTACTATCATACTGAGATCTTTATTATCCATTAATTAATCATAATAATAATATACACCCGTTTGGATTACTGCTCATTGATTGCTGGGCCGATGGACCGAGCGCCCAACCATTCGTGATGGGTGTGACCGAATGACCTGTGACCTCAACCCAACGGAAACCGTTGCTATCCTACCTGCCCCGGCCGGCCCATTCATACCGGTGGGCCCCGAGGCCCACTGCTCATCTCTAATGCGCTGCGATGCCATCGACTAATAACATCGGGCCAGTCGTATCGATCTAGTGCAAACTTAGCGCTGACTCTAAAAAGTCTTTCAGGCACTGATGATGACTGATTATCGGCCTGTTCGGCTAGGCTTATATGGTCGTAAACGATCGTAAATTTTCAGCCGAAACAGTATTTTTCTCTCACACCAAACCAGTCAGTCATTGATGGGTGGAGGAGGGGTTGGAAGGATAAATTCACGAGAGAGTAGGGTTTTCATTTGAGGCATGTGGATGTGCTCTGTCGGTGTATTGGGCCTGTTCGTTGGTTGGGGCTGGTGCTATTTTTTTTAGAGAAAAATACTGTTGGTTGGTTAGTTTGGGCTTGCTGAAACCAACCAGCGAACATGCTGATTAATGGATGCCACTGTCTGAAGTTTCTGCAACATTTATGGGTCTTCAATTGGTGGCAGCTGGCCGATGCTGTAACCAAGGCCCAGCACGGCCCTGCAATGGTACTTTGTACTACTACTACAGCAGGTACGGGTATGTAGTAGTAAGCGTGTAGATTAGATTGTACGTCCACCCATAATCAAGTTTTTGTCTCCTTCACAAAATGTGCACAATCTTGTAGTAGTAGATCGGGACCAAGCAAATAGGTATGGGCACACAGTGCACCATGCATGCTTGACCAAGTATTAGATGCCCTAATAGTAAGATGCAACAACTCAATTAGTAATGATCACATGTTCACTTCTGGGACTCATGAATAACCTCCCTTCTAATTGGATCGAAGCTTTACAATAATTACGTGTTCCACTTCCACATGCATATAATTCAGCCGGAAATAAAACATCTATCCCAAGACAAGAGATGTCATAGCCTGACTCTGATCCAATAATTTATCTCATATAAAAGTAGATCAAATGTGGCATAGTATGTTCCTTGTACATGCATGTGCGTGTGAGCAGCATGACTATCAAATGTGTGGTAACTGGTAAGTAAGTAGTACTAGGAGTTTAATTATATCAACAATAAAAGAAAGTAAGTCAGGCTAAGGAAGAAAGTAAACAGGCCTGAAAAGCATGTTTACTGGTACTACATCTAGCAGCATGAGTATCATATTTCTTTGCATGCAAATCATATATAGCTAATGATAGATAAGAGCAAGAGTATGTAGGCATGCGCGCTCGCACCTTGAGCTCGTCGGCCGGCTTGTAGCATGCGAAGTCGATGAGGTAGACGGGCCTGGGCCTGGACATGATGTAAACGGAGATGGTGAAGGCGAGGACGGCGACGAAGGCGAGCACGGTGGCGAGGTCGTAGGTGGCCTCCCCCCACACCTTGCGCCACAGCTCGTCGCGGCTGAGGCTGCCCACCTCGGCGCCGCACACGAGCACGATGACGGGGATGGTGGCCAGGTACACGCCGTGGCTGATGAGGTAGTGGTAGCCCAGGCGCACGTACTTGAGGTTCACCGACTGCGGCGCCTGCTCCTCCCGCGCCATGGTGGCCGACCTAGCTGGCTAGCCCCTACCGATCGATCGATCGACCGATCGAGCTCCCTCGCGCTGCTGCTGGTCGCAGTCGCGGCCGGGATGGATCGGAGCAGTGGTAGTGAGAAGTGAGGGGGAGTGGAAAGGGTCCAGCTAGTCCCTTGATATATAGTAGTACTAGCAGCAGGAGAGGAGGAGCAGCAGCAGCGGCGGGGTAGGGGAGGAGATGGCGGGTGGGTGGGCGGCAGTTAATGCCATTAGAGGGCAGGGCAGCTGGGGCTGGGCAGGGACGGACACGGACTATTACTATTCTGATGGAGGGGGGAAGCGGGAGCTCCCGCCCGGGCCCGGCCTTCATGGCTTCATCAGCCTATTGCGGCTGCAGCGGCAACTGCTGCTAATCCGCTATTGTTGCCACAGTACCACGCAGACAGGAAATGACAGCCGCAGCGACTGCTGGCTGGTCGTGCTCATGCCTTCCTCCATGCATGCAGAGTGTCTTTATTTTATGTGAGACTGACATGTTGTCCCCCCAGCTGAACTGCAAGAGCTTTGCATGTTCACTGACTGTCTAATAATCTTACTGCTAGTATGCATGTGGGTTTAGGATTTAACACCTTCACTCCATTGAGAATACAGTACGGTGGGAGTTGGGAGCGAAGCTGTAATGTTGCATGCATGCTCTTGCACCTGTTGCGTGTGACCATGCAAAACGTGTTTGCTACTCGTGGGCAGAAGAGATACGCATGCTTTGCTTGCTTTCATCTGCATGGCATGATCAGGTACACCAGAAAATGAATAGAACGCCGGGATTTTTGCATGTCTTTGTGTTTTAAAAGTAAAAATGAATTGATTCTTGTTAAATTTCTGTACAATTTAATTTCTATGAAATTCTTGGGTTCCAAACAAACCCTTATAGGCCGAGATTCCGCTAAAAAAATGACGCATACTCACTCCGTCCTAACACAAGTACACATCACGTATTTAGAGAAGTTAATGTATCTCAAGTTTGACTAAATATATAGAAAAATACTAATATTCATGATATCAAATAAGTATTATAAGACTAGTTATATTATATAACTTTTTATAGTAAATCTATTGAGATATATAATTGAAGTTAAATTTAAAATGACTCCTCTATATGAGGTGTGCACTTATTTTGGACAGGGGAGTATATACTTGTTCTCGTATTCTTTTCTTTTTAAATACAGTATGAACATAAACACTCAGAGCTCGCCCATTGCATGTTGTACACTCCATCCTCAAATCACGTAAAACTAGTCTGGAGATAAACAGAAGTCTGCACTGAAGTCCGCACTGAAATTAAAAATGGTGTCCCGGATATACGTATTGACACAATTGACACAAGCGGACGTGAGACATCGTCGCTGCACTGAAATTAGCTTTGATCAGGCCGATTGACACAAGCCGACGTGAGACATCGCTGCACTGAAATTAAAAACAGTGGCCCTGATAGATAGATATTATCTTTAGTTAATCAGCAGGGCCAGTTGACACTCGACGACGTGAGACTGAGACATCCCTGCACTGGAAGTTCCCTGCTAGCTAGGCGAGAGCAGCTGCGAACTGATCCCCCAACAAGTGCACGTCCCGCGTGGAGATAAATTTCTTCGGGAGGGGAGGGGAGGGCTGGCACTGTGGCAGATGGGCCGGTGGAGTCGAGACGGTGCTTGCAATTGGGCATCACGCTGCACACTAGCGCCTGCACCTAACCTCTCGAGCGTGAAATGAATTGGCCCTGTCTGTTCTCTGCTCCCAGCCTCGCCTGCTGCCCACCTCATTCACTCCGATTCCCCGGCTGATGCAGTAGATAAACAAGAGGGTACGATCTGATCCCACGGACGGCCTCTTAAGTAGGTGGTGGCACAGTAGCTGGATGATGAGCCAAACTGGTTGCGGGTGATTTCATCTTTGGTGCATTGCAATTGTACGGTGACATCCAGCTGCATGCATCGCCTAAAATTTCTTCACAGGCAGCAATAGCATGGGAAAGTGTTTTACAGTATTCCATCAAGCATGGACTCAAAAAAAAATCCATGGTTTTTCTTCTTCAGTTCTTACAGAATTACCCACCCGTGGATAAATACTCTAGTTAGTTTCGGAGTACACCATTAGGATAGGAAATTACTGGCAAGTGGCAAGGAAACAGGAAACAACGTGCTCGGCTTCCCTGTCTGAAGAAGGCAGAATTCAGCGAGCCAGTCCGCGAAGACCTCATCACTCAGGCTCAGAGCCTGACAGGCGGAGTGACAGCGGCAAGAGCTGCTGTCTGCTGCTCATTCATGGAAAAAGCAACAGCTTGACCACAGTCCATCGAGGGTTAACCACTCTGCTAGTGACATTTATCCTCTCGTAGTACATTCATTCATGCGGGCAGTTGGTTGGGGGTTCAGCTTGCGGCATCACTCGCTTCCCCCGTTGGAAGACGCACAGTTGCGTTCCGTTCTCAGATCTGATGGGAAAAAAATATAGGTCACGATCAGGAGGATAACAATGAATAAGGGAATGGCCTCCGTTTGCCTAGTAAGAACGCAACGCAAGCATACTTTCTTCATGTAACATGTACAATGATGGAGACGGGATTAATGTCTTTAGGATCCCAGCAACTACTTCCAGCCTCCTAAATTGACACAGCGATTCACACACCCTACCTCTTAATGGTACTGCCGCAACAGTTTCAGCTGAAGAGGTATGCCGGTTTGATGATGGGCTGATGGTCCAGGACATCGGATTGATCCACGCATCCAGCATGGCAGATCCCTGTGCACATCCAAAGCCATCTTTCAGCAAAAACCATCGCACCTCCCGAAATATGGATCCATCGCACCTCGGGTATCCATGGAAATTAAAAAGATGGTCGGTTCTCCAAGCTGCGCCAGGCCATAGCCCATAACCCATAAATTCCCGAAATCTGAAGTCTGAACGGCGAGAGAATATCCAGAGTATGCCAATAAGGATGCAACTTTGTCAGTCCGGCTAACTCCCAACAGCACCGCCATTGTTAGGTCCTTCGAGAGAATCAGGACTCATTGCCGTGCCGAGCCTTAAATAAGGAGCATGGCATGGCCCCCATCCAAATAAGCATGAACAGGAAATGGGGAATAGATTTGTTTCAAAAAAGAAATGGGGAATAGAGGATGAACGGATGGACGGCTGGCTGGGAGATCTGTAGGGTAGGAACAACATTCATGGTGGCAACGACCAAGGATGAAGTAAATGGGGGCGTCTCTGCTCCCATGTGGTTGCATTAAGCCGCGCCTCCAATCGCCATGTGACCATGTTTGCAGCAAAGGTAGTGCTGGATCTTCTCAATGAAGCAGCCAGTGAATGCTGAGACGAAATATGTCCTGTTAAAAGACAAAAAGATCAGTACGAAGAAGAAGAAATTTTGGCACAAGAATATTGCAAAGTACTGGTAGAAATAAGCAGAACACATGCTACACCAGCTTGTTGTTTTGAAGCTAATATGACATACATAAACAATACCAGCAAATTAAGATGGCTGCATCAAGGGATTGTGTTGTCTCACCGGGACACTAGAGTCTCTTCTTTCCTTTCTATTTGCAGCTAGCACAAAAGAACAGCTTAACCAGCTCCTACAGTCCTACTTTCATCACACAAAACAGCTAGTTTGCAAGTTTCAGCAAGATACAAGAGATGGCTGGCACAGTAGGACAGCATGGGATACTGTTTTAAAACCTTCAAAGGATTTGCTGTAAAGGATGACACATTATCAGGGGGGGGACAAAAAGAAAGATGCCAGGTAATACAATAACTACACATACTCATTATTTTTGCCAGATTGTTGAAAATGTACACCAGACTGGAGAAAAGAAATTTAATCCCTTTCTCAAGCAAAAAAATGAGAAACGAGGATGTACTGTATGCATGTTTGCAAACTTTGCCGGTACTGGAGTAGATCAGCGAAGGAAATTAGCCTCCGGTCCAATGTACATAATTTGAAATGCATGTCTATATACATAACAAGAGCAGCATAAACAGAGAGGCAGAAAAGGTATAGCAAAGTCAACAACCATAACGTGCACAACATAAGAAGCTTAGAAACATTTATAAAGAAACAATTTCTGGAAGAGCTCTACACTAAGATCAGCAAACCTAATCACCAAATCACCAAGATACAGCACAAACTTGGCATATCAAAGTACCAAGAAAACATTGACATATTATATATAGATTTTTACTAGTATATAGCACCAGTAGTACATTTATTAGTTATTTGGGTAATTATTAAGGTCAGTGTATCTTGTTTTGCACAGCAAAGTCAATACAAAAGGGGAGTGCAGAATAACTCCAACTGCCATATTGTTGCAAACGATTTCTTCATCAATACTACAACTAAAAAATTGATTGTATACAAAGATTATCATTGGCACAGTGAGGTAGACCGTAGACGTGTACATATCTGAACTTCAAATTCATCAATCATCACCTCCTGCCTTATGAGTGCTTAAAGGAAATCTATGACTGTTTAATGAAGATATCTTGGACAAATCATAACTTGAGTACAGTAGTTGCATGTTTTGTCTCATCAATTTATTTCTAAAGAAAACGTCACAGGGCCACTGATTTGGTGTTGTTATAACACTAACGAACATGGTATAAGCAATATTCAAGCCTGCCATATCAAATCATTGTGATCTGTTTGAGCTTTGACTAATATTTTGAATTCCAAATATGAGTACAGAGAGAAGGATATCCAACCTACCTCAACCTGTTACTTGGAATTCCATAGATGTCAGCAGCTAAGGTACATTATACAACTATATCCTGAGCTTAAAGTCACAAACAGTTATTGCCGAACTTTGTTTTTATAACAAACTAAAAACAGCTTTTTTTTGTTCTTTTTGTGCTACACACGCATGCCACCAACTCAGTCTCTGCAAAATTCATCTGCATCTCCTAAATCCATCTCAGAATCATCTGACATAGAACAGCCATCTAAGATGTCATCTGAATTTTCACTTTCAACATCCAATACATCATCATCACGGCCTAATAAGTAATCATCTGAATCAGAAGACATGTCGAAATTACCAAGATTCTTCAATCTCCCTCTGTAACCAGTAAGTTGAAGGAGCTTTTCCCTCCACCGCACCAATGGACACTTCTCTATCAGTTCTGTCCCATCATATGCCTCAGTTAAGAACACACTCAACCGCTTTCCCCTCTCAGAAACATAAAAGATGCCATAATGCTTCAGGAATAACCTCATAAGCTTCTGTGGCATTACAAACTCACGACGGAAATGCGTAAGGTGATCGGTCACCAGCCTCTTTTCCAACATGAAGCTCAGTATCTCATGCATCACTGCAACAGCCCTCTTATCAAACTCTGGTGATCCAGGAGTCAATCCCTTTGCCTCTGCATAAGGGGACAGGTAGGTGACCTTCTGAAACTGCTTGGTATTGCCCGTTTTCACATAATGATGAGCTTTTCCTCGAAATCTGTAGTAACTAGTAAAATCTGGTGGGAATTTCATTGGGAACGGAAGCAAGAGCTCTCCTGGTGGACTGGCATTGGCATCGCCAGTCGACACAGCCTTCTTCTTCTCAAGCTCAGTGACTGCCCAGCTTGGGTTCCAAGAGATGAGCTCCAAATACTCACCATCCTCCAATCTGACCAGCCTGAAATGCTCCGGAAACATGTGCACCCACCGTGTCCGAAAGTCATGAGGAAGTCCCATGTCGCGCCGGAAGTGGGCGATCTTGTCGACTGGCAGCCGCCGGTCCACAGACATCATGAGCATCCTGGTGACGTACTGCGCGGCCACAGGGGAGTGCTCCTCCAGCAGGCGCGCTTCCTCCTCGACGAGCGCCTCCGCCTGCGGCGAGAGGCCTGCCCACATGACGCCGCGGCTGTCGCGGCAGACCTCGAACAGGTGCGGCGAGCGGCGCACGAAGTGGGCCACCTTGTGCGGCTTGACGAGGCCGAGCTGCGGCCGCAGGATCTCGAGGCGCTTGAGCGGGGTGACGTGCTCCTCCTCCTTCTTGAGCGCGTCGACAACGGCGAGCACCTTAGAGAGCACCTTCCAGCGCTCGGTGGCCACCTCGAGCGCGTGCACGCGCTTCTTCTTGCTCCGGTCCTTCACGCTCCGGCCACGTGTCATGCCTCGAGCCGGCGAGAGCTGGTACGGGCATTGGTATAGCCAGTGCCTCTGGCTCCGGCAGCGAAGTAGCTCGCTCAGGCAATTGCGCGAACATGCTGCGTGCATGGCGTGTGAGGCGGCCAGGAACTTCTGAAGTAGAAGGGCCGAAACAGGAGCAACAATGCTATTGTAACACGAGTAATCTGGAAGGAGGATGCAAAGGGCGCGATCCTAGTCGCGCTGCTGAACGGCGGCGAGAAGAGGAGAACAAGGCGGCGGCTGCGGCCTGCGGGGGAACCGGAGACGCCGAAGGAAAGACGAAGGAGGGAAGAAAAATGAAAAGGGCCGTTCTTGATGATGGTTGAACAGAAGAAGACACCGATGTGGCTAGGTCTAAATAGAGCCCATAATTTCTGGTGGGTTTCTGGGCTCGTTTTGACATTTGCCGTAAGGCCTGTGAAGCCCACAAGATAGCCCTGTTTTGATCAGATAGTTCTTAGTTAGGAGCCAAACTAGTTGGGGTTCACCAATAAATTGGTTAACAACTAGTTGAAGCTTTGGTTTTGCTCAAAAAAAAAGTTGAAGCTTTGGTTTAAAATTAGCTCACCTATTATCCTCATGTGTTAGATAGACTAAGACAAAAATTAGCTGCTAAAATTTAGCCTTATTCATCCAAGCATGCCCTAAATTGAGAAGAAAGAACATGTGGGTCATTCTAGCGTGGGTCATAATAATCACTCTATCGCTAAAGCTCCCTTTCCAATCCAACGAAAGCAACCAGGTTAAGGAAATGGATCAAGGGAGAGGAAGGGCATGAACAGGCATGGCTTGCTTTGAGTAAGAATAGTGTGTTGCCATGTGTCGATGCGAAGGTGGCGCAATGGCCTACATCATAGTGATGTGCAAGACAGGGCGGTTGTCCCTTGGTTCCCCCTAGACTTGGTATGCGATGGCTCTGATTTGGCGGCGGATAGATACCTAAGCGGGCAAGATGGTCGAGCTGCTGATCTAAGAATATAATCCATCTTTTCTCCTCAACCTTCAAATTTAGACATCTTAACCCTCCAACTCTGAAAACCATTTAAATTACTGTTCCCCGGTTACAAGTGGTTTTATAGGTAGTTTTATTTTTTTGGTTTACAAAAATTCTAATAAATATCTAATAAGGTTTTTAAACCATAAAAAGTCTCTAACCTGCAAAAAGTTAGGAGAAAAATGTTAGAGATAGTTTAGGATACGAAATATCCAATAAAATATTTAGAACTCGTGAAAATATCTCTAGAAACCTCCAAAAATTAGATTTAGATCTAGGAAAATGAGGAAAATATATAAAAACTACATAATATTCCAAAAATATCTTAATTAATGTTCAAATGCATTTTAAAACTTTCGAAAACCAAAATATGAGATTCAACCAGCAAGAATGCAACATAAATTTTTTGTTGAATGCATTCATGCCGATCTTGGTCCCATGTTCTTGTTGTGAAAAGTTTTCATAATGTGTTTATACATTGATTAGAATGCTTTGGAAATTTATTAGATTTTATTTGATATTTTCTCATTTTTCTAGAGCTAAATCTAATTTTTGGAAGCTTTTAGAGACACTTTCACCGAGCTCTAAATATTTGTCTAGTTTTTTTTTGTCACAATCTACCTCATAATTGGATTTTTAGGAGCTTAGATACATTTTTATGGTTTAAAACTCTATCGATTATTTACCAGATTGTTAACTAAACTAATAAAAAGAATGAAATTGCCTTAAACACCACTTTGTAATCAGAGCAAGGAAGTAATTTAAGCAGTTTTAAAAGTTGAGAGATTAAGACGTCTGGTTTTAGGGCTGTAGGAGAAAAACTAGACCAGACAATAGTTTTTTTTAACTTTCCGGACTTTCATTACTCATCTAACCCAGCCAAATCGCTGGTCATCGGATCCTCAAAGTCACAAGCAACCTCCTCTCAAGTGTTATAGCAGCCACTCAGGGGATTACAACCAAAAGCAGCAAGAGCATGCGCAACACTATTAGAATCATGTTTACAGACGGATACAGTAAAAAACATGAACTCGGGGAGAGAGAAACAAGCTTTTTTTAACAGAAGAAGCAGAGACAATATGGCTTGGTGTAAATACTAGCCCATTGGCATGTTTGCTCGTCGTAAACGATCGTAAATTTTCAGCCAGAACAGTATTTTTCTCTCACACCAAACCAGTCAGCAGTAATAATCCACGATCGTATACGATCGTTTCAGCCCCAGCCGAACAGGCTGCATATCTATATTGGGTTTTTGGGCTCATTTTTCGTTAGGCCTCCAATATGAAGTACATAATAAATAGGCTCAAAAGCGATCGCAGAGCCTTGTAATCCATTCAAGTGTGGCCTCTTCGTCTTCGTCAAACGTGTTTCCCGTTCTGCTTGTTGGTATACTCACATACATGGGCTTGGTCTAATAAATACTATATACATACACCTATATGCTAGTGCTGTAGTGCAAAAAATAGTGCTTCGTTTTCCTTTCGGAAACAAGAAGATCCTTCAGGCTCCAACGATACGGAACCCACCAGGAACTCGGGAAGAGAGCATACTACAGCAGAGCCTGAGCCGAACCGAGCTCGCACACATGTTTCATTTCCTCTCACCCACGACAGCTCGCCGAGACTGCCAACTGCCCTAGGCGGGGCCCCTAGCTTAGTAGCATCCTCCCAAGTCCCAAGTCACCGTGCAGGGCTCACGACACGCACGTTGGCCGCGAACGCGACACGCCATCCCGCGTGCCTGCGCCCACGAGAACCAGTCCGCCGGGTTTTCGTTTTGCCTCGCCCCCCACCCCCAGCCGTCTCCGATTCGTGCAACGGGGACGACGGCACGGCACCGCTTGTGCGTGATTCTAATTTTCTACTAATTCTTGGTGTTGGCACATGGCGAGGCGAGGGAGAGAGCCCACGCGGTTGGGCTCTTGTTGGAAATATATAAATAAACTGGACCCAGGACGCAATCACGCAACCGGTCGCTCGCTCGCCTCGCTTGCGCAAATTGACTTGCTCCGATGCCCAATCACCGCTACGGTCAGTATTCAAACGCCTTTTGACTTTGCGGTGATCTCGCCGTGGACCCTTTGGACTAACGCAGCGTCGTCGCACTGTACGTGTCGACTGTCGACAGGACGACAGACATAACAGACGCAGGTGGCTAAGCCAAGTCTACGCAGTGATCCTAGTATATAATATAAAATTAAAAACTCTGCTTGCGTCTCACGCGCGCCGCTGTTCGCTTCATGATTTATTTAGTGGCTTATAAATCGGCTGATGCTGTTTTATTGTGAAAGAAAAATACTATATTATAGTTAATAAGTATGACTGATACGATCAAGCGAACAGGTGACTGCCCACGGAACGTTCGCCTTTTTTTGTTGATGTCTGGCAGTGCGGATTTGCAGCACGAAGATCTGCACACCATCATTTGAAGCCATCATCATCGTTAGCCCGTTTGACCTTTTAAAACGTACTGTACGGAGTTCTTTTTACGCTGAGGATGAGGAAGTGAGGAGTGATGATACCTTTGCCTGGCCGCCAATGTCCGTCCAATCCTGACCTGCGATCGTGCAGCTCGCTAGTAGTAATTCACCTCCACCTTGAAAAAAAAGAAAAAGAAAAAAAAGGAGGAAAACAAGGAAAAAGAAACGTATCCCTTTAGTACTCCTATTACTCACTGAGGCTTTGAATTAGCGTGACGGTCACGACAGATCCCCATCGAGGGGCGACGCCCAAGCATTAATGATGGCTCGGCGGATAAACACCGAGAGAGAGATATTTGCGCACCCAACCCAACATGGCGCGTGCGAGTTGCTGTCGGAAATGTGACAGAATCGTGAGCATCCGATCCTCGCCTGCGTACTACAGCCTTTCGAAACTCGAGGCTGTACTGTACCGGGCACCTCTGACCGCTCCCGTTCCAAGGCAGGCGCGTTGGGCACGTCGCGGGGATGCCGCTCGAGCGGCGCTCGCCCGGGGAGCAGGGATGAAAACGGAGGGGAAAATTCCCGTACCATCTCGTACAGTTTTTTTAAAGAAACTTTTGCTTAGTATACTTTTGTATTCCATAATGATACGGCCCGAGCGTATGAACGGACGGATGCTCCGTTCCAAAATGTGTGTGTCGTCTAAGTGCTGCCGCCGCCGCCGTCACCTGTCCTTTGCGTCGATGCCGTGCCCCACCCCACTCTCTGCGAGCCGCCGCCGCCTCCACCCGTCCTTTCTGTTGTCGCGCCTGCCCAACCCTGCCCTATGTGCACCTCGTCCAGCCCGTGCGCTCGTGTGGCATCGCCTTCTATGTGCCGCCGAGATCCGCGTTGCTAGCGAGCTCCACGCCGCTAAGATCCGCGCCACGTCAAGATCTACGTGCCGATGAGCCAACATTCGCCCAGTCAGAAGGAGATGTTGCTCTGAAAATCATGTTTTGCAAGCCTATGTTTGTAATGTTTCAATAGTTTCGAGCGCATGTTACAGATGCTTCAAACGCATGTTGTAGGTGTTATGTTGTAAGGAGATATTCCTCTGAAAGCCTATATTTCAATTGTTTCAAGTGTTTTGAGAGCATGTCGCAGGTGCTTCAGGTGCATGTTGCAAGGTGTTGTGTTTACGAATGTTGCAACAACGATATCAACAGTAATGTGGGCTTGTCTTAGTAGTACATCATTGATGTTGCGCAACAACGATATTGTACATGTTTCAATAGTAATCCGGGCAATTTTCATTAGTACATCGCTGATGTTGCAGCGGTGGGCCCCAAGGGCATCCGTGTGGAAGCCAACATCGTTTGCGCGCTGCCGCCCCACCTGTCCTCTGCGTTGTCGCCGCGCACCCAACTCGCCCTCTGTGTGTTGTTGTCGCCCCCCCCGTTCACGCGTCGTTCTCCATCCCCGTCGCGCATCATCCCATCGCGCCTCTACGCATCGCCATGACTCAGAGTCGCGTGTCGGGAAGCGCACTTTGTGAACTCAGCGACGCTCGGGCGAAACAGCTCCACTTTGCCGCGCTACCAACCATCGAGATCGCGCCCCGGAAACTAGTAGCTCCGTCCCGAAACATGCTCGACATCTCCGTCCCTAGTCTTCCGTTCTATGTTTGTATGGGACGAATCCTTGAAAAACCATCGATCCTAATTTAGCCCTTGTTTAGTTGGCGAAATTTGGAAGGGGAAACTAGTAGTATTTGGGCGTGTTCGGACGGAAGCCTCCGTCTCGACATCCGGACGCTAGTCGTTCCGTTCTATGTTTGTATGGACGAATCCTTGAAAATATTAAATTGTGTGATCCTAATTTAATTTTTCGGCTCTCCATCCATATGTTTATCTGTTTCTTGTGAAGTAAGTATCATCTCGTATTCTGATTTCGTTTTTATCTCGGTTTTTGCAACCCGGTCCCGTTATAACATAATAAAAAATATAAAAATAGAAATAGGAGAGGCCTTTTTCCGTTTTTACCTGGCAACTGGCACACGGGAACGCGCGCGGGTGGCCGGCAGGCACGACGGACGAAGCCCACGGAGGGAGGGAGGAAAGCGACGCGACGGGCACGGGTTCGGTTCGGTTTGAATGAATGAATAGTATTGAGGGGCGTGCAAGTTGCAGCGGCAGCGGTTGGGACCTGGTACTCTGGTAGCGAAGGCGAAGGTTCCCGTCGCCTAGCACGTCTCCTGGAAAAACGGCGATGGTTACGTTGATTTATTATTAGAGAAAAACATCGTTATTTCGTTGAAACGATACGGCTGATAATTTCAAAGTGAACGAACGCTCTGATCGTTTGAACTTATTTGGCTTATAAATAGTATTTTTTCAGCCAACGAATAATACTTTTCTCTCACACCAAATCAACCTACTGATACTTTCGGTCATGGCTTATCTGCGGAAGCCCGTCGGCAGCACGTGGATTTCGTGGGTGCCCCACTTGGGTCCAGTTTAGTTGCAAAAAATTTTGTAAAATTTTTCAAGATTCTTCGTCACATCGAAGCTTTGGACGCATGCATGAAGCATTAAATATAAATAAAAAATAAAACTAATTACACAGTTTAGACGAAATCCACGAGATGAATCTTTTAAGTCTAATTATACTATGATTAAACACTAATTACCAAATAACAACGAAAAACGTTACAGTTGTATTTTGCCAAAATTTTTGGCATCTAAACAGAAAAAAATCCAGTGGATACAGTATCTACCGAGAGCCGGTGCATACTGCCGCTGGATGGAGGATACGTGTGCAGTCCGCAGATCCTACGTTCACTTGTGAAGCGCCGTGCGACTCCGACGTCGATGGACCACGAGCCGAGCGCCGACGTCATCATGACTCAAAGCCGAGCGGAGAGGAGGACTCTCCATGCACAGGTGTCAGCCAGGGAGTGGCGGTATGCACCAGGTTGCAGTGGATACCGTATGCACTTAGGCCTGGTCCTCTTAAAGTTTTACTCCCTGTTATTATCGAATGTTTGACACCAGCCTAGATTATTAAATATATGTTATTAATTTTTTCGAGCATCTTAACGACTTGAATGAAAAAACTCAAAACTAGAAAGTTAAAAAATATAAAATTATTTTCATTTAATTCCGTAAAAAATATGATGATTTTCTAAGATATATTAATCATATCAAATCATATTTTTTTTATGGAATTAAATGAAAATAATTTGAAAATTATAGACGAATCTACAACTTTCTAGTTTTTTTTTGAAGTCGTTAAGATGCTCAATTGGTTAGAGGCCGAATTTGATAATTTTATGTTATAGTTACAGTGACACATGTGCTATGCGATCTTTTACGAAAAATTAATTAGGTTATTATAATGTTTGACACCAAGCATAGATTATTAAATATTCTAAAAATGGATTACGTAATTTATTTTTATTAGTGCTAATTATGGTTCATGATTTGATAATGTTATGCTACAGTGACACATGACACTCATTATATATAAATCATATAGCATCTGTAATTTATATATCCCTCAAACTTTGACACTCATATATAACAGATTTAAGCAAGTCCCTCAAACCCCCACCTAAATTTAAGCAAGTCCTGCATCCCCCATCCCCCCTCCCCCCCTGCGTTGCCCCTTGCCCGGCGATAGACTAGCGCAAGCGACGGTTGCGATAGTATAATCCAGTCCACACACGAGAGAGAGAGACGTGGTGGTGCTGGTGCTGGTGCTGGTGCGGTGGCTGGTGCCGCTCCAGCAAAAGTTGTTGACGCGTAGTGGTATCGTACGCGGTTTTGTAGGCACGTTTTCGTGGTGCCCGTTTGGACCACTTTTGAATTATCCGGCAATAGACTATTCCTAGCTTTGCCTGTTGGACTGTACCGATTTGAGGCTGTGATTGGAGCTCGATTTGGGATTTTTCTTCTTTCTGTTTCGCTTTTCATTTATTCCTCTCAAGTTAAGCGTCGAGAAGTTGCTGCTGGCATAAGTTTTGTATGAATTCAGCCATGGTTTTTGCAGGAGAATATACACGCAGAGCAGAACGAAAGGCACAAATTGTTCAATCTCCATCTTCTTTCTATTATCGAATCAAATCTTACAAGAGCAGCGAAACTCTCTCGTAAGAAAAAAAAGAGACACGAATACATCTCTACAATCCTCTGTCTCCCATTTCCATTTCCATACAAACCAATCCCAGCCTGAGGAAGGCAGGAAACCACCGAATTAAATCACTGCTAATCGATCCACAGGACGCGAAACCCAAATCACAGCGCGATGGTGAGGCGCTCGGCGTCCGTGCAGCCGCCGAGCCCGAGCCAGGAGGCCGACGGCTGCTTCGTCTTCTCCGCCTCCTCCGCGGGGGACGGGCGGGTGTAGGGCGCGCGCTCCACGAGGCGGTCCTTGCGCTTGGCCAGGAACCGCTGCAGCGACGCCTTCCTGGCGATGGGCAGGTCGTCGCGCGGCGCCGGGGCCGGGGCCGCCGCGCGCTCGGCGCCAGCTGCGAGGCGCATGACCTCGGCCGCCTTCTCCGCCGGGAAGTCCTCGAACACGACCACCCTGCCGCCGTAGAAAATGGTGAGCGGCGCCGCCGCCGGCGCTGCCGTGGGGGCGGGCCCGGCCATCTCCTCCCCATTCGTGGCGGGGGCCGCCGGCTCCTGCTCGGCGCCGACGTCCGCGCCGGGCATGAGGCTCAGCGTCGTGGCCAGGGCGCGCGGGGCAGGGGCAGGGGCCGCGGCGGCCGCCATCTGCTGCTCGGCCTTGACGTACTGGCTCAGCACCCCGCAGGCCAGCGCGAACCTCCGGCTCTTGCCCTCCGCTGCCGCCATGGCCATGTCAATCGAGACGACTGCTGCGCGCTTGCTTGTCCTCTTGCGTTGGCCTCTGTTTGCTCTTTTGCTCTTGCTCTTGGTGGTTGGTGGTGCTGTGGGAATGGATGGGGGCGCCGGGGGGAGCCTTGTGTTTTATAGGGGATGGGGGGCGGAGGCGGGGCGGGGCAATTGACTCGATGGAGTGGAGACGTGGGGAGGCATCGTTTTTTCACCGGCGGGTGGGGCCGGGAGACGTGAGGCGCGGTGGTGGCGTGGTGCTGGGCACGAAGAACACGTGATTCTTGTGGGCGGCGGCGAGGGAGGCAGAGCAGGTTCGGTGGGGTGGGACGGTCGCTCGGCGCTGTCGGACGGAAACGCGAGATAAAAGAGAACGGGTGAGACTCATTTGTCATTTGGATAACGCTCGCTACAGGTGAAGGGTTTGATATTTATTTTTTGTCTTCTCTAACAACAAGATATAAAAGACAAACATTTCTGTAAATGAGTTTTCAGAGAAAGGATACTCAGATTTAGGTTATGCGAGGTTATGCCTCTCCTAATATCTAAAATAGATCTAATACTATGTTAGATGTTATAGGTATTATGATGAAGACCTATTTTAGATTTAGGTTCTACAATTAGTCTCTTGTTAGAGACAGTCTAATTGCCTCTCTATTTTTCGTTCATTCGGCGGGGGAGAGAGGTGTGGTGCGGGCCTTTTCGTCTTGTCGACCATCGGCTAGCTGCAGCCAGTTGTATTTTTCTTTTGTAGGAAGTATGCTTCACGCGCTGCAAAAACGTGGTTGGGACTTCTTTAAGCAGGAATCCAACCGGGGATGCATGAGCTCCACTTTTATTCGTTTAAAATAGAAAAAAAATCATACTTCATCTGTTCTAAAATAATCAAACATCTCATTTTAAAGGGGGTAAATTTTTAAATTTGACCAAATACTTTCTCCTCTTGTTTCTAGGGTGTTCTCGCATTTGTGGTGAAGTCCCTATTACTAGAGCCTATACAGCTCTCTCTCTGAGCTGTCTGCCTTCAAGAATATTTGCAAAAAACATACTTCTTGTTTCTTTGGGCTTTGGCCGTGCTTTAAGAAATCGACTACATATGAATCGGTTGTGTGTGCGCACCGCCTCTTCCCTATCCTCTCCCTACCGAAGGGGGCGACACCGGCACGCCCATCTAGGAGCTCGATGGCGGCGCGACTAGTCCTGGTCCACCATAGCGGCGGTTCCAAGTAAGGGCATGTTTGGTTGGTCTGGGATGGCCGGGGTCGGGGGCCAACCCCGTGGACCAGTCCGGTGTGGAAGCGTTCCTTGCGCACGATGAAGTATGTGTTAAGCTCAGTCGGGGTTCTGCCCTAGCCGATCCCGGTGATTCCTCTTCACCCCAACCCAGGAACTGACCCTCGAATCCTACGACGTCGAAGGAATCCTTGAGTGCGGGCAGGCATCAGGCGTCACTACACCACAACCTTTAAACAGCGACTGATTTGGAGTTGCTGAAAGGGGTGTACAACGATGGACAGTCAGTTGCTAAAGGTTATAGCGACGGACCCCTGCAGTCGCTAATGAAGCCGTTGTTATAAGTATACAGCAACGGACATCATCTTTAGCAACGAACTATTCGACGGTCCAACTTTTAGCGACCAACATGTTAGAGCCTTTAGCGACCGACAGTTCATCGCAATAAATTTTTTAGCAACGGACAGTCCATCGACCTCAATTAATAGGTTAAAAAAATAAAACCTTGTATATCTAAAACTAGTATATATTGGATCAAACATTCTGGACCAATGCAATATTGAAATTTATGTACACAGATTTAGGACGTCATACACAAATCATCACATTAACCATACTCATTCAATTATCAAACTCGAGTACATATTTAATCATGTCACTTAACATCAAGCTTTCCTTGTCTCAACATATATATAACTAATGAACAAAAGCAAACTAACATGTGTTGTCCATGGAAACCATCTGTTTTGGTTAAAGCTCAAAATACACAACCATCTTTACTTTAGTTGGCTTTTCATGTCCACAACTTTGCTACAAGCTTGCCTCGGAGAAGATCCAGGAACAACCATCTTTACTTTAGTTGACTTCTCCATTGCCTGCTACAAACCTTCAGCTGTCACAAATATTATTAGTTAGAAACTCTAGATGAAAGCAGAGATCAAAATCATGTGTAGAGCATTATTCGCTTATAAGATCACATCATTTATAGCCTGAAGTAGATGATGCACTTATGAGAACTAGTAGAGTGCCCATGCAAGTCTCAAATTAAACTCCAAGACATGAAAAATGGTGCTCTTAATTTTTTTACACTAAAAGAAGCTACAAAACTGTTCTACTATCATCTCACTCCCAAGACATGTGAATGGATTTGTAAGAGCAGTCAAGCAGTGCATTAATGTATTTCTAAGAGCAGTCAAGTAGTGCATTACCTCATCAGCAGCAGTTGCCTTTGCTGGAGCAACAATAACTTTTGCCTTTCTTAGGATATCAACAGCTTGAACAGTGCACGGCATATCTGAACCTGCAATTGGCAACATATTTTAATCAGCATACGATAAATATAAAAATTTAAACCAGAAACAGAAACAGAGCTGGATTGCCTACTTTCATCTTAAAGCTCTACATGTTTTTGGCTTCGGTCATAAACTTCTAGATCACTAATTCAGGTGGGTGGGTCCCGGTTGGCGCCCCTAAAATATCAGATAGTAGCTACATTGCTTTTGCTGCAGTTCACTCAGGCTGTTCTGACTGTTTTTAGGCCACTTCCGATGATCAAAGTGTTTAGAAATTATTTTGGAGGGCACTACGCTCTTAACAGTTCTGTATGTAGTTACCACTTAAGTTGATAATAAGAGGAACAATAATCAAGCTCCATTTCCACCCTTAGGGGGTATATATAAAACCCATGATGCAGGTCTATGATTTAATCTTAACGTACAGTGTTCTTAAAATATTGCATCTAATTGGATCTACGCTATCTATGGGTAATCAATTCTGTGTTTCATTTTGTTCGGCAATGCAAACAGGGTATAAGTTAGATGTGCTCGAAATGTTACCATAATCTTTCAAAATATACTTTGTACTTTTTCTTCCTCGAAGAGGATTCATATGTCTGATTGAATGCCAAGACCAGAGGAATAGGAATATCATTGCTGTCTAACCTCATCTGATTGAATGCGAAGTTAATGGTTGACAAACTTATCTAGTAGCAGAAAGTAGAGCTTAAAGAGATGAATAAACACAGTTCTACGTACATTTTGGCAAGAAAATAATGCCACATTCAGTGTTTCAGTTGTACCAGAAAAAGGTGTAAGAAATTAGTGGGGGCAGTAATCTAGAAGACAATCAGGTTCGCAAATACACCATAACTGGAAGAAGCACCTAGAAACAGTGTGTGGTGGCTAGACTACAAAAACAACAAGCAGTGCTGGTTAATCCACAATCTCATGCCATCTTTTGCAAACAGACCCAGATCTTATAATACTTGCAACAGGCAAGAAGGAAAGAACCTTCTCCAAGAGATCATCAGGGAGAACAGCGTCCAGCAACACTGCCACATCCCCATTCTGATCGTCATCGCTGTCTTCTAAGTATAGAGTACATGTAAATAGAACAGCAACATTCAGGTTAGGTACTCAAGTTTATCTAGACTCTATAGACTATACCATCATATATGCAAATACAATCAAAACATCTTAGTGGCTGTCTACATCTCAAGGGAACTTCACAGCTCATCACAACAGACGAGAACCAAACCAACAAAAGTATGTCATTTCTTTCTTTAACAGACTAAGGCCCTGTTTGGTTGGGCTTTTTTTTTGGCTTTTTATTTAAAAGCCAAAAAGCCCATCCAAAGGGCTACTTTTGGAGGTGCTTTTTCAAGAAGCAGCTTTCAGTAGTTCATTTTTGAAAATTTGGGTTGACCTGAGCTTTTGGCTTTACGCTTTTCAAAATTGGTGGAATAAAAGCTCTTCCATAGTTGTTTCAAGAGAGATAAAGATAAAAGGTATATTTTATACTTGTTTAACCAAACGACAACAGACAAACAGCTTTTTCACAAAGCACAACCCACAAAAATTTTTTTTCCACAGCCATGAGCTCAACCAAACAGGGCCTAAGCTCGCCTAGATTAAAAGGACAATAATCCAACCTGACCAATCTAACCTTTCAACGACATGTCTTGTCCATGGAGACCATCAAACATTTGGTTAAAGCTCAAATATAGTTCTTGTGTAGAACTGGACTCTTTGAATATGTCCAATACAACTAGGCAAAAACATGTTCAGAGAAAACTTAACACACAACTTATCAATTTGGCAATAGGTACAGGTAGTTTTAGTTGACAGTCCACATATGGTCGATTACCTGAAACAACATCAAGGCAGCAGTAGTGCAGAATATTTCGCTGAATCACATGTGAGAAGAGCTTCAGAGCCACTACAGTTTCTGTTAATGCACAGGGTACCGATGGTGTCCCGAAGTTAGCAGCATGGTATCCTATATATGAGCTAAGTGCACCACTGAGGACTACAAACTGGTTGCCTCACTAAGCTGTATACATTAGAAGACCTACAAGTGGAATCCAGCAAAGATAACAGTATGCTAGCAAGGTAAATTGAATTTTGAGCAGGAACAAGCATATATCATATCTTAACTAACGCCTACAAGTGGAATCCAGCAAAGATAAGCAGCTTTTTTTAACTGAATACAAAATAGCAGGCATCTCAAATAAACCAGCATATAACTTAGCTAACGCCTATCACACTTGAAGCAGCACACACGACCTACTGCAGCCATACGTGACCTATTGAGGCTGAAATCAATTTTTCTCCAAAGACATATTGACCAATAATTAGCAATGGAAAAATGAGAATAGATCCTGCTAGGTGCTAGCAAGTTTGAGGCTGAAAACAATTTTTCAGCCAAAAAAAGATGATGAATCCAGGAACCCAAAATTAGATCCTGCACATCGAATGCTAGGTGTCATCCATTGC